TATCAGTTACTGAATGTTAGCCTTCAAGAAATTTGATAACTGATAAGGAATTCAATGTTAGACACACATATAAAAGCAGCAATAACTGGAGATTATTTTTATCTATGGAATTTCTCCTGTGGATAGATGTTATGACACTAGTCTCTTCTGACAGAATAAACTAGAACTTAAGATAGTTATTAGCATTTGTCAGGCTGCTTCTCTATGCAGTGCTAATAAGTTTTATTTTTGGTGAGGTGTTTTGGAGGAAAAAAAAAAACAGCCAGCAAACACTGAAATACTGTAAATGAGCCATTGTAAAATAAATTCCAGTACAGTATCAGCAGATGATATGGCCAGAATTTTTAAGTAGAAAAGTTAAGCTTACATCTATGCTCTCATATTGAGGCAATGAAATAAAAGTGGATTTCCAGACAAGTTGAGCATTCAGGATGGGACTGCTTGTATTAGCTGTTCTCAGGTTTTACACTCCTTACCTTTATCTTATTTTCCTCACTCAGATTTGGAACAGGGAGTCAAGGAAACAGAATTAATGTTAATCTGTGTCCTGGTTCCATGTAAAAAGGGGTTCAGGGCAGGACCCATACAGAACAGAACTATGTACTCGCCTCTCCCCCCCCCCCGGACGGACGAGAGCAAAAATTGAAAAAAAAAAAAATGAAGTATATTGTTCAACAAGGAACAGAAAATGAAAAAGGGAGGTAAGGAAAATAATATATACAAAGATTAGGGGAATAATACAAAAAATAAAATATACAAAACCCTCAGCAATGATTGCAGGGTCCCACGGAGTGAAAGGAGAACTTTCCTCTCTGAGCTCCAAGGCAAGAGTGAAATAAGAAACCACTCCCTGCCTCTTATCAGAGTGTGTGTGGGAAGGGGAGGGAATACAATGGTTTCACCCCCACCCGGGGTCCTCCCAGTTGCTGGAAGGTCACGCCCCCATTCCAAGCCTCAAACCACAACAATCTGTGTTATAATATAAGCAAAATAGAAGTTTAAAGAAGAAATTAAAAGTCCAGACAATGAAATCAAAAGAATTACAGTAGAGTGAGGACCAACTATTCAAATATTAATCTTTGGTAGCACTGTCACAATAACTATGTTATTCTGTGGTTAATCATAAAAGAAAGGCCAGACTTCTCCAAGCCACCTGAACTGCATTGTTTGCTATAACAAGGAATTGGATAATCTTATAAAAGTACATGCAAAAATCCACTCTGGTACTACATGAACATTAACCTTCCCACACCGCTGTTAATGAACCTTGTACGTCTATAGTCAGCCAGGCAACTGCAAATGAACTTTAGTATAACCTCTTTACATCACTGACAGAAAAAAATATGGAGTTTATTCTTTGTATACATTAGTGATAATATATCCAGTATCCATCTAGCACCTTATTCAACAAGATTGTTTTAGTGTTCTTTAATGAGCTTCCTTTCTATGGCTCCTTGATGAACGCTAGTGATGGTAAGCTGGCAAAAATGTACCTTTCCAAGTGTGTTTGAAACACCAAAGTGTTTTTCATTTCAGTGTAATTTTACAGAATATTCTGTTTTAATTGGGTGTTATGCCCACATTAAACTCTTCTAAAAGGATTTCCCACTTTCTCAGATCTAATTCCTCTTAGGTAAAAAAGCTTGGGGAGAATTTCCAAAAGAAGATACAGTGTGGCTGTAAGATCTTGTGTAGTTGCTCAAATAAAAATGAAAAATGAAGGACTGAATTTATGGTCCAATCATGCAAGCCCCTCCACATATGTGATTACTTTTTTTACTCAGTAGAAATCCTGTGCATGGCTGACTTGTGGATTTGGCTCCTTCCTTCTACTGATGGCAGTGTGCGTGTTAATGAGCTACAAGAAAATTTTCACATCTAAGCCAGATATTAATAGAAATCACACAAGACACATGTGCCATTCATTGGAGAAGTAACTCGAATTGCTGGTCATAGCACAATTACTAGATCCACCTTGCAAGTTAAATCAGTCCCCATTTGAGTAACTTTCTGTAAGAGTGAGACAGCAGAGATGATTTCCTGCCAGGCTAATCTTTTTGTGCACTACAATGAAGAAATGGGACTTAGGCAGTCTGCAGTCTTGTCAATTTTGCCAGTTTTTTGTTTGTTTGTTTGGTTGGTTGTTTTTTTTTTGTTGTTGTTGTTGTTGTTCATTTGGGGATTGTGCTCTCTATTTGCTTCTCACCATTTGTTGACTCATTTCCACAGCGAGAACAAATTAAGCACATGTAGTTTTACTGAAACTGTTGATTTACAGCGACTCATTATTTGGAACTGGAACTGGTATGCAGTTCCATGTAATATGAGAATGAGATTTATTCAGAGGGAAACATGAACTAAAAGTTAAATGTAGGCATACAGGATGCATATGTTATTAACACTTTGTGAGCAAGTGGCAAAAAATGTAGCTTTTAAAGTAGTGATAAATTTGGACGTAAAATTACAAGAAGATTGGCCAATATTAGAAAAGCAACAGGGTACAGCAGTGAGTCCTTTAACAATACTTTAAAAAGGAAGTTGGATAAACTTATAAAAGCAACTATATGACATGACTGGTTGTGATGGCAGAGAACTAGATTTCTTAGCTAAGAAGATCCCTTCCAGTCTTGTGTCCTTACTGAGAGATGTCAACAAAAGCACAAAGGTAGAATAAGTCACTCTCATCTGGATTGTCTTTAATGTTTCTTCAATGTTTCTTTAATGTTTCTTCAATTCTACAATGGGCTATGACCACAAATTATCACAGTGCAGGAATCGGAGTATTTCATATCATGCAAAACATGTTCAGTGATGCTGCAGGTTAATCTTTCTCCAGCTTGCCTGCTACGGTTAAAATAATTAGGAAAATCAGGTGATTAGGAAAATTATTGCTTCTGATAATGCAGCAACATTTCTGCTGTAAAAGCAAAGTTATCTATCATAAAGCACTGGTAATGTGATCTATGTGCATCCATTGGGCCTTACTAGTTAAGGACTGCAGGGAATTGTAATTCAGAACAAGGTCTTTTCTTACATTAAAAACAAAATAGTGGACATATTTTAGGCATTATTGCCAGCAGTGCATCATTGGTTAGTAATATTATCATCATCAGTCTTACAGACGTTTTTTACCAGCCAATTATAACAGTCTATTTTTACAAGAGCTTGAGTTATGTCTGTCTTTGCATCTTGCGACTTGCTACTAATGCAGTTGCACCAGTGCTGACTACTGCTGTAATTCAGGGACAGTTTTGCTGTGCAGTCTCATTCTGAGGGAAAATATTGTCTCTGGATAAATAATTATTTCCTATTGTTTTATATAAAAAATAAAAAGCACACTTCAATATTCCTGTAATGGAACCTACCAGTTCATAACTCCCTTTTCTAATGCCAGCCGCACAACTAAAACGTAATTTGAAAACAGCTAAATACATTTGTATTTCAGCTGTGAAAGGAATTGTAATGAAATGGATTGTGGCTTTGAGTAACCTGTTTTTCAGGACATTTCTCATTGTCATAGAATTTGTCATATGATCTCATGGGAAGTCCAGACCATTTGGTATCCAGTCAGTAACCCACTTAGTCAAGGTATTCTTACATCTCAGCACCATAAGAAAGGGAAGAGAGAGGAGAAAAACAAATACAGGTGCCCAAATACAGAACAAATGCCCGTGGTTAGGGTATTCAAACACTGCTTTGATTCCTCTTTATCATTCTGAGCTTATGGCATCTAATGCATCTTTCAGAAAAAAATTTAAGTCAGAGTCCAGTTGGGGAAGATGAAGTTAAGAATAAAGGCAGAGGGTATGTGGATTTATTTTCTGCCTTTCATTCAGGCCTCCTAAGAGGAGGGATCTTTATGGTTTGAGGCTAGGAACAGTTTCTACCAGATTCAAATTTAAGGAAGATAAGTTTTTCTGTTTATTCTGTGTGGACCTTTCCTTGATAACCAATTTTGCTAGTCCATTTGTTTTTCAAATGTGTCCAGTTTTCATTTTTCCAGCAGCCGATTAAAAATGCAAAGGCTTATAGGGACAATTCCACCCTTTTGCCAGTGCTTGCATGCCCGTTCCTGCCCCTCTGCTGGACCTGCGTTAGGACACAGGGCAGTGCAATGAACTGGATACTGAATAGAAGCAGTTAAGAATAAGCCAGATTTTGTCAGGTCAGTGCTTCCCTACCTCAGTTACTTAGTTCAGTTCATGCAACAACAGGAATACCAGTTCTGGGATAAAAGAGGTGTTAGAGGTGGGGGACTGGAGGTAGAGTGAAAGGGGAGCCCAAAATCTTAAATCTAAAGGAACTCTGGAGTAGTTAGTAGTTTTCTCAGGGTGTAAGCACTTGAATAACAGTACGTGATAGCCCAATATCATAGTAGTGGTGTGTTTCTAACTATCCTAAAAAGAAGTTAGGGCAGTTATTTTCACCTTCTTGCTCTGAAGAAGCTTCAAAGCTCATGTCCAATGTACTGGGATTCAAACACGAAATTACCTCACATTTAGCAATATTTCCTTGTCAGAGGGTCAAATGGATGATCATTACCTTTAACTTGGCAGGAAAAGTGCAAGCTTGTCTTCTTTATCCTATTCATATTAACCACAAATAGTATGGCACCATCTAATTATAGAAATTTAGAGGCTATGTTCCAGGCAGCTACATTATGCCTAGAAAAAGTGGTTTATGCACCTGTTTCAAAAAATGTGTTTTCATTTCTTATCATATTAGTTCTGAATAAGATCATAGAGTCTGTTATGCCTCATAGCAAGCAGTGGGTCTGTCAAAAGAAAATTCTGGGAAAGTCATATGAATATCAGTGATAATATCAGATGGTTCTTCTATGTTAAGTGTGGTCTCTGAATCGTACATTGCCTGTCATTAATCTCAAAAAGCCGTATTATTCCTTCAAAGGTGATTGGGGTAGAAAGACTATACCATTTTAAATAAAAATGAACATTGATCAAGAAAGAGAGAACATGATTTGTTTTAATTCTTTTTACCAGGCTTATCAACATAAGCTAAAGCTAGCCCTTATAGGTCAAAGTATTTTTGGACAAGAAGTTTATAACAAGCTGAGAAAAGAGGGACATAAAGTTGTGGGAGTATTCACAGTGCCTGACAAGAATGGACAAGCAGATCCTTTGGGTAAGTGTAACCTTAATCCAAGTGTTAAAATTACAGGCATACATAAGCAGCTTGCCTTTTCATGAGAAGGTGACGTGTGTACAGGAATGATGTCCATATATTGCCTTTATTACACTGGATTCAGCACAAGAACTATGCTTTAACAAACACGAATGCCAGGAACAGTTTAACCTTGTCAGTTAGTATTTAAAAGTTGTTTCTAACCATACAGGGCTGTACATGAAGATATTTGAAAAATAAATTGATCTGGGTACCTTGTTTAAATGTACTTCCAAGAGGTCATCATCCTGAACTAGATCTGTATCTTAAAGCAAATAGCTGCTGAGCCTGCATGCAAGAACAAATGTCTGTCACCTGTTTCACTGTGCTGTCTGGCATGCTCAGGCATGGAGCCAAGACTGTTTTTCCCTGGCCTTCTGCCCTTTCTGACAAGTTTGCATGCAGCATTGTACCCACAGAGCCTATTTCTCTTCCACCTGGGCTGTGGAAAACCCGTTGAAAAAGTTGGCGGAGGCTTTGCTCTTCTTTTTTCCTTCCAAAAGGATTTTCTAGACTTCCTAAAGAAAGAGGTGTTACCTGAGAGGTATTCAGACTTTTACTCACAGAAGAGAACTCAGTGTGACAAAGAAGCTACTTTGGAATCATCTGAAATGGAACATCTTTTTTTTTTCTTCCACCCCTCCCCGCAAAAATAGTGAGTTTATATGATTAGCAAATAGAAGTGCCAGAATGGAATGTAGCTTTGTGGATAATACGAAACTAAAACTATATTCTATGAGCTGTCTCAGGTCTTTTTTTTCCTTTTGGTCGGGTCCTGACATGTTTTTAGAGGACTCTTATGGGGACTCAAACATGAATTTTGCTTACGTGGGCTATGGCACTCCCAAACTAGCATATAGTTCTCAAGTTTATTACATTCTGTAACTTTGCCTCATTAAAAGATTTAATCACACTTTGGAAGAATTAGAGGAGGTAACTACTAGTTTAGAGAAAGACAATTTCACTGTCCAGCTCTGGAAGCACCCTGTAACATTGGTTACATTATATAAACTGTTGTATAGTTGTTACACTAGCAGATGTAACTAACTAAATCTTCCACTGATTTCAATCTTATATTTATTTTAACTGAACCATAGACTTAGTTTATTGCCCTCCTGATGAATTAAAAAGAATTTACAAGATACTTTGTTGCTTTTACTTCCAGATGACTCAAAGAGCTTAAGTCTCAAGTGAAATCTGCTAATATTTCTGTATCCTCAAAAAGATGCAAATTTTCTTTCTAAAAGCAATTGCAGTACACACTAACTTCCATGGAATGATATTTAAGAATTTATATAAAACCTAACTAATAGGCTAAAAATGCTTCAGATCAAACTCAAGATCTAATTTCAGAAGTGAAAAAGGGAAAGAAAAATACAAAAAATGTGTTCATATTTAGAAATATAAATAAAATTAGGTGAATTTTTGGTACCTCTTCTTGTTTTCCTTTTTCTTCCTGTTACGCATGGAACTCAAGAGATGCAGAGCTGACTCTACTGTCCTACTCTCTGTGATGAGTTATTAAGCAGATGGACAACGGAATTTATCAAACACCTAAAAATTTTCTCTCTTGTTTTTTTTTTCTCACTTTTCTTGAGCCTAACTTTGGGCGTAGCTGTGTGTCTCACAGATAAATGAAAGCATATCCAGAAAGCATCAGTAAACAGAATTTGGAAGAAATTACTGGAGGTCACCATCTATAGTTATTTGCACCACATAGCACAATGCTGCTGCTGAGAGTGAATCTTAGGTGTACATAGTCATATTCACATACAAATTGCTGAAGTGGAAAATTAAGTTCTGCTAAACCAAACAAGTTGCAGGCAAATGTAGTGACCAGACAAGAAATAAAGCGTCACTGTTAATTAGTAACATTCACCATTCTTTTCATCTTTCATTGGTACTTATTGGCCAAATCATAAGACAGAACTTGAACTGAGAATGACATAAGCTGCAGGAATGAGTATCAAAGACAGAACTAATACAATATATCCAAGCACAAAGGTTTCTAAACAGCATACAGAACAGTACAAAGGGCACTCTGTAATCATATACTTCATGATATGCTTGAGCCGTCATGTAATAGCTCTCTGATTTCAGTTTGTATTTTTGACACAAAATATGAATTTTTAAAAAAAATATTGTTCTTGTCCTTCAGCACTGGCAGCGGAGAAGGATGGCACTCCTGTTTTTAAGTTCCCCAGATGGAGAGCTCAAGGCAAGCCTATCCAGGAAGTAGTTGCAGCCTACAAATCAGTTGGAGCAGACCTAAATGTCCTTCCATTCTGTACACAGTTCATCCCCATGGATGTTATTGACTGCCCAAAACATGGCTCAATTATTTACCATCCATCCCTCCTACCACGCCACCGAGGAGCTTCTGCAATCAACTGGTGAGTTTTGTGCATGTAAGTACATGTATGTCACATTAGGATGTTGGTCTGTACCCATTACTTGTGTAAATGTTGGCATGGTTCTGTTGATTTGCATCTGCTCTGAAGGAACTTCTCTGAGGCAGCTGAGTATTTAGTTCATGAACTGCACTTCATACTTAAGATTTATTATGATTTCTAATGCAAGTGCAGCTGTTATTCTGGGAAGATCAGTGAAGTGGTCTGTACATTCATATATTTTACTCACATGGGCAAATCAACAGTCTGGAATTTTCAATAGGCAGGACATTGCCCTCATAGCTTGTTGCCCGTATATACTACATAACTATCACATCAGGGCTTGTTGCAGAACCTAAGATTTCACAGAAGGGAAGGAAGAAAAGGATTCATAAGAATAAAATCTTTTATTTCTGTCCTCCTGAGCAATGCACAAGGCTAGGTTCAAAATATTACTGTGAAAGAACTACATTGCAATAATTACCACAGTAGACTCAGATCTAGCATTTTTCTGACAACAGAGATGCCGTTATCACGGCGTTTAAATTCAATAAATTGTCTAAATATGAAAAAACAATTTAAAAGAACCTTACAGGCAGCATGATGATTATCTGAAGATGCAGTGTTGTAGATTTAAAGCAAAAGCTTAATTTTTTTGTTTCATTATTTTTAATCCTTAATGGAAAAAGTGCTAAGCTGAAGTACTTAAACAGAGGAGTAAAGGAGACATAAGAAAATCCTTCAAAAAGTGGCAATTGTGTCCAAGTGAGTAAAGTACAAAGAGCATAAACTCTGGCCAAACAGGTGAAAAAAGAGAGTAAGGCAGTCCAGGAAAGGAAGAAACCCCCACCTTTTAAAGACATAAAATTTAGTAATTATAATTCTCCCAAGGTGGGAGGTATGTAGGGTGATATAGAGGTTTCATTTTAAAAAGGTGCTTATCAAAGAGAACACTAAAGTAAGAAATCTGTACTGGTATTCAGGATGGAGGAGCTGAAGATGTTACTAACATACAGCCCTTCTTTGTGTAGAATTAGACAGAACAATTCTCTTGAGCGGCACTGTAAGTAGGAGTTTTAGATGAACTGATGGACAAACTGAAGTGGACTTCCAAGCAAAGTTTCTGCAGGTTTGAGACAGCCTACAGCATTTCTTTTCCTTCAGAATGTGTTGGGGCAGGAGACTGGAAAACAGCAAGAGCAATACCAGTTTTAAGAGGGCTGAAAGGGAAAGCCAGGAAACTTTAGACCAGCCACTCTGATTTTAATCTGTAATAAAGAATACACTTGCTACACAAGTGGGTAGATGTGATAATGTGAAAATGAGATTAAGAAAATGAGAGGTCAAATTCAAAGTTAAAAACATACATAAAATAATCCACATAAGGGGGAAAAAACCTCCAAACTTATATGTAAACAGTAATAAAATGTAAGTCAATTGTTGTTACTCAGAAAAGAGACCATGGAAGGATCTTAAATACTGTCTGCATCTCAGAACATGAAGGAACTAGAAATGCTTCCAAAAAGGATAAGAAAAGTGGTCAAAGGACCTTCCACATGGTGTGAGAAAAAATCTAAGAGTCTTCAGCCTGGAAAAGAGGTCATTGGGAAGGAAATCTGCTAACAGTGTACTAAGCCGTGAAAGACATGGGAAGGTGAATAAGGAATGATTGCTCATTCTTAATCAAAAGTTAGGGAGCAGCCAGAAAAGATATCAGGTGGTAGGATTTGAACAAATAAAAGAAGTATTTTTACTCCATGCAGTATGTTATTAAAATGTGGAACTGCACACCTAGAGAGCTCTAGAAGGACATTTTTGTGGAGAAAAAAAATAGCAAGATCTAATCCACAGGAAGATGCAGATATAAACTGTTTCAGGAAGTTCCTGATGTGAAGGCTTCCAGAAACAGGAATGTGCACCAATAGTGTATCACTAAGTTTTGCTTTTATTTGCATTTTCCTCCGTAAGCATCTGCTCCTGCCCTTCTCAGGTAAAAGCCTAAGACATTTAAACTAAGCTAGGATTTGGCCTTGACTGACCATTCGTGTTTCACCCTCACACCTCTCACTCTCATCACAACTTCTTTCATGTGTTGCGGCTACAGCCCTGATGTTGATCAAACCCCCTCCCCCACAGTGTGACCAAGAAAGCCTGTGGGAATTAGGCCTGGCTAAAGGGACACCAGGCACAAACAAGGGCCCCAGGCATCCAAGGGTTTCTCCATCCTTTATAGCCTCTTCCAGCTTTTGCCATCTTGTTATCTATCAGCAGCTGTCTGCAGATGGAGCTGGTGGACAGAGGAAGTGGCACAGGGTAGTTCTCGTCCTGTCATCTCTTCAGCATCAGGAACAATTGCCCACTATACCTTCTTCTTCAGTGCTGAGGACATCTGTTGCTCACCAGGGTGCTCTTTTGGAATTTGTACATAATTTAGCACAGAAGAAAAGCTCCTTAAATGTGTGAAAGATCTGGTGTTGGCTAGCCAAACTTCTGTAATCTTTCAATTTTGTTATACCCGCAAACTTCCCCAGTTGTCTTTGCAGTTCGTCCCTTGTTCCACACAAATGTATGTTCTACTCCTTTTAATAATGTAGTATTCAGTGCTTACAATTAATAATGAATTTTCATGTATATAAGGTCTCACCTATTCCTGTTACAAGATGTACTGCCAGAGGAATACTTACATGAGTCCTGTGTCCAGCTCTGGAGTCCCCAACACAAGAAGGATGTGGACCTATTGGAGTGTGTTCAGAGGAGAGACACAAAAATGATTAAAGGGCTGGAGCAGCTCTCCTGTGAGGACAGGCTGAGGGAGTTGGGGTTGTTCAGCCTGGAGAAGAGGAGGCTCCGGGGAGACCTTCCAGTACGTGTGAGGGGCCTACAAGAAAGCAGGGGAGGGTCTATTCACAAGGGTTTGTAGTGACAGGACGAGGGGTGATGGCTTTAAGCTAGAAAAGGGGAGATCTAGGTTAGACATTAGGAAAAAGTTCTTCAGTATGAGGGTGATAGACCACTGGAATGGGTTTCCCTGAGAGGTGATGGAGGCCACATCCCTGGAGACATTCAAGGTCAGGCTTGATGAGGCTCTGAGTAGCCTGATCTAGTTGATGTCCCTGCTTATAGCAGGGAGTTGGACTAGATGACCTTTGGAGATCCCCTCCAACCCAAACATTCTATGCTTCTATGACTCTATGATTATATATATATCTTAGTGAAAACTGCACTGGTGTTTGCATTCAGACAAATGGTTAAAAGCATGCAGGAAAAATGCATCTCTCCGTTTCTGGCTGCTCCCTAAACATACATCCCATTGATTTTCCACCATTCTGAGGCACAAGCAGCTCCAGAGGAGAACTGGGAAATCTAAGTGGCTGAAGTTCAGATTCAGAGACAGATCCTGAGTTGATGTAGATTGGCATAGGTCTAGTGTAAGCAGTGCTATGTTCATGCACAGCAGCTGAGAATCTGGCGGGATACAAATTCCTCTAATAACTTTTCCTCAAATAGTTGCCTATCTATCATTTTCCACTCTGAGTTTAGCTCTTTTTCAGCTGTGCAACAGCTGTACTTCCTTTGCTGGCCTATAGATAAGTTGTGAGGCTTAGCTAATTACAGTAAACAACCATGAATTATTAGGGTAATATACTGTCTAGATGTTTCCATCTTTCAAATTATGTCATAACTATTGCACACCTTTTGGTCTGTGTGTCTTACAGCTAATAACACTTTAAAAATAATTGTCACAATGAACTGTGTGATAGACACTCTGGATTCAGTTGCAGGATTTCTTATGTCACTTTCTGAAAATCACACATAAACAGTATCAAGACTGTGGATTCCTGACTATGAGATGAGCATTGAAACTGGTATTAAAGATGGGTAGGATGTTCTTCTCTACATACCTAAAATAAATGAACATATAAGAGATGGGTTGATACCCGTGACTACTTCCACACTGTTTGTATTTACTGTAAAGCTTTTTTTTTTTTTTTATGTCCAGGACTTTAATTCAAGGAGATAAGAAAGCAGGATTTACTATTTTTTGGGCTGATGATGGTTTGGACACTGGACCAATACTTCTGCAGCGAGAATGTGATGTTGGCCAAAATGATACTGTGGATGACCTGTATAACCGGTTTCTCTTCCCAGAAGGAATAAAGGCTATGGTATGTTTAGCTGTACTAAATATCAACACTTTAGGAGGAAACGAAAAGCATCAGCTGGAGTTTGGAAGTAAAGGACATATAGAGAAGCTGCATGCATATGGCAAGACAAAGTTTGTGGTGCTCAGCCAGATCCCAGACTCCAGTGGAACTGTCCTGCTTCATGACAGCTGAGGAGGTGGCCCCAGAATATTTGTTGCTGTCAGTGGGTAGAGGATATCCTGTTTCCACAGAAGGCAAGAAGTCAAATTTATCTGGAATGTGGCTCTTTCCACAGCTTTCTTGAATGTTTTACAAGGTGAAATTCAAGGCTTAGAGAGAACCAAAAATTAGGCATAAGCCTGAAAAAAAAAGAGGGGGATGGTGTTTTATGGTCAGAGCCCTAGTAGATTTGCTTTGGACTTTGTGTGATTGTCCTTTATTTGTATTGTTTTAAAATGAAGTAAAGAAAGTGCATAAAAAATACTCAGTATGGATCATTAGAGATTTTTTTTTCTCTCTCAATTTAAATGCAGAGAAATAACTTTTTGCAGAAGGAGAAAGGAAAGAGTAGAATGCAATCCTACAGAGCCATATACTGGTCCTACAGAATTTAGGCAGCTGCTATATATTTGTTGACTAGGTACTCCCATCAAATTTCTGAGGCTTTTTTTTTTTTTTGTCAGAGAAGTTTAAGCACATATGGTTGTTAATCAGTGCAGTGTTGGTCCGCTAGATTTTGGAAATCCTAGGTTTTAAAAACCAGTTCCCCTTGTAGCAGAAAGTCTTTTACTCTCATTCACAAGTATGACTGAGGGAAAATGGTGAACCAGGCTCACATTAAATGTGTTACTTTTTCACTTAGGTGGAAGCTGTACATCTAATTGCTGATGGTAAGGCCCCTCGTATACCTCAGCCTAAAGAAGGGGCAACATATGAAGGGATCCAGAAAAAGGAAAATGCAGAGGTAGTGTTAAATAACACTGTGTTTTGTGCGTATTGCTAGAAACATTGTTATTAACTCAGGTTACAACAGTAATCATGTGAAGTTAAGATTAATTTTAACTCAGTTGTTTCCCCACCTCTTATTCCTAGTATGACTCCAAGGATGCGTGTAATGGAACCTCAGGTTAAGTTTCATCTCCTTTTTGGCAGTCACATGTATTTAGAAGCTTGGTGTCCTACTTGGGATCATCCACACATAGCTAGATGGCAGCTGCACCTTCAGTGGATTCTTAATATGTTACCATAATTTAAATACAGCATTGAATGAAGATAGCTGTCTTTGTTTACCAACAGTCCATACTAAATTCTGTACCACAAATAGGTTTGATGTTAAGAAAAGCAAGTGCTGGCACCTTTCCTGTTGGTGCCAGGTGAGAAAAAATAGGTCACATAAACAACAGAGAAAAAATAGTTAAACTGTTAATATAAATATTTAAACTATTAATAGAATATGATAATATAATATCATATCACATCACATTTAAACTATTAATATAAAATATTTA